GATCAATTTAATATAATGAGAAGTAGTTTCAAAGCTGAAAGATCTTTAGATTCTATGATAAAATTGAATTATACGTGTGACCCTCCTCCTCCCCTCCGATTATTGCTCGCGAAGACACGCACGGGAATAAGATATGTTTCCTTTGAGCAATAAGGATCTATCGTTGGTCTTTCTTACCAGCGCGGGAGAAATCCGAAGAACAACGGGACGAGGAATTTTCAAGGGGGAACTCTACCTGCGTGTTCTTTGTAAAACTTTAACTCACTTGAGACCAAGTCTTTGAATGAATCAAAAGCAAGTGCTTCGGGAGAAAACCAAATAACGCCGTCCTTAGTGTGGGTGACAACCATAGAGCCGGCAAGAAACTTGTCAAAGAAAAGAAAGATTCGTCATTAATGATTCATGGTTATGCCATCTGCATTTCGCGATTGCAAGACTAAGCGTTGACGCAGAAAGCAAGAATTTGTTGCAAACACGATTGTCAGCGCTCGAACAAATTTTCCTTACGCTGATTAATCTGATGATATAAATAAAAAAAAATTATTTTAACTTAATTATTATCCTCATCAATCATAATGTAACTCTTCACAAAACTCTGAATTTTATAACGTTGATCATTCAATTAAGTTATGAAAATCAAATTAATATTGCGTATACATAACGCTTCAAATACGACTCAACGGCCACTTTCTTTTCCTGCAAGGGATGTTGTCTTCTTGACGGCTTGTAATAACTTAAACACTTCTATACACACAGCCGCCGCACTTCTACGGCAAAGACATCACACTGCAGGGCATACTTTTGGGGAACTCACAGATGGTAGGAAGGGACATGGTACGACACTATCTCACGGTGGATCTCGAAAAAGTGCGATTTAATGCACTGGATATTGGAGAAAGCGGGAGAGCCCAATAAGATGTCGGCAAAAGAAGAACAACGGACACCCTGGCCTCGGAGGGAGCCTCTGAAGCGGCGGCTCGGTGACAGAACAATTTGTGCGCATAAATCACCAAGCCGTTTCTTCATATCCTCTAATATGAATCGTCTCGCTTGCTTCGCTCGTAACACACGAAGCGTCGAGGCCAACGGTTGTACTGAGATTGATTGCGAACTATAATCTTGTTACGGACATCACAATATAGCGCGAATCCAAAGAAAAAATCAAATTTGAAATCGGATTTTTACATATAACAGCAAGGAAGGATTATACTGAAGGGTATTGCTATTTGAATGATCCACTGAAAAAAAACAGGTCGTCCAAAACGAACAAAGTCTCTGGGCTAAGCAAATTTGATTGCATCAACTCCAATCGAGCTAAATTAAATAAAAATTAAGTCTGTTAAACAATTTGATACAGGAATTTCGACTAAAAAGTTTAATCAAATGTAAAAAGTTAATAGAACTGAAATGTAGTTATGTAGACGCTATAAATGTCTCTCTCTCTCTCTCTCTCTCTCTCTCTCTCTCTCTCTCTCTCTCTGTTTCTCTACTACGTTTACCTACAAATTAATTCTTGTCGCTGCAAGACAGGCAAATAAACTTTACCACGTGAAACTTTTTTAGTTAATAAATCCTGAATAGACACTCTTTAAATCATCAATCTATCATGATATATGCAATCTAAAGGAAGAATTTTATGAGATATTACATTATTCTTACATTACATTATAACTTATAATACATATAACTGATTCAACTCGGGAGAGAAATTGAGTTAAAGATCTCTTAACGTTTTGACAACTCATTTGTTTGCCGTTACTTTACGAGATAATCAATTAACATTATGGTTAACAATTTTAATCAATTTTATCAAATACTTCGTTTGGTTCGTTTAGCGCAAATCAAAGATTACCAGAACATCAAAATTATGCTGAAAGAGTTGAGGCAAATTAGTTTGCATATACAATCCAGAATTTTAGTTTGCTTAATTCAATTTTAATTGTTGCGAACAATCTGGTTTTATAGTGCACGTCAGCATACCAGTATAACTCGTTACCTCTTAAACTTTCGGGAATAACAATAGATTTATCTTGAAACTATTTTTTTTTTTAATAAATATTAAATTAGTATAAGTTTGTAGAGATTTTTACGAGAAATTCAAAACTGATACTTCCATGGTCAGTCATAACTTTATTTTTTCATTTTTTTTTATTACCGTTTACAATAATGTCTGAATATTTATTACTTTAATGTACATACAAACAGATGAAAAGTGATATATTAATAACACCAGTCTCTCTGAGATTGGAATACATAAATATATATATATATATATTTTTTTTTTTTCTATATATATATATATATATAGTATATTTTCTATTACAATATTATTGGAACCAATGCTATTATATTAGACGTAATGCTATTGTTTTAATAATTCAAATATTAGTTTGAATAATATTACTATTGAATTAAGAACATTAATTCCAATTACAGCGTTTCTGTTTCTGATATACTATTTTGTTTTTCTACATATATTATCGTGCCATAAAAGAAAAACGATCAGTACATTATTAAATAAAATTATGCTCTATAGGAACATCGGCCTTTAACTCTTAGTATAAATCTCTACGAAATTATGAAACAACTCAATACATTACTGAAGCATCTCTGTCAATGTTAGCTGTCGAATGAATAGTCGCGTCAGTACAAACGGCGGAGCATTGATAATTTATAATCAACAAGCGGTATATTCAGCATAAGTCTTCCGATACGTGATTAATAAGAGACGCTTTGCGTCAATTTCTTGAGAAATTTTTGATAGCGTGAAAGCGTTTACAGTGCAATGTCATAGCGCGCACATCCAATATTTTCCATGTCGCGTTACGCGTTGCTTTTTACGGATAAAGGTAGAGGCGAGAGCTAACGTTGAATTCAGCTCACGTACGCATTTATCCTTTTTGCGGAATGAGTGATAATTCGATGAAATCGAATTACCGAGTCGGTCCGGCGTGAAAAGCGTCGAAGTTAGCCGCAGTGGACGGTACATGGCAGCGCTCTGCGCAGCGCGTTTTCGAAATTTAATTATGACGTGCTGCACGTGCGCGAAGATCCCCGCTCCGTGCCACACATATATGATACGAGCCAAAGAAGCACGTATTGAAATGTAACTAGCTCGTTCAACGCCGTCAAAGGCAGATCGCGATCTGATCAAGGAATGAAGAAAAGTGCCATAACTGATGATATTTCACATCTTAAATTTTGTCGGACATTGTACTTAAACTGTGAAGAATCTAGTGCGATATTTATCGTAATAACAACACATATAAATTTAATTCTTGTTTTGATAATTCTTTGATTTTTAATATATGTAAAAAAATAAAATAGTATATCAGAAACAAAAACGCTGTAATTGGAATAAATATTCTTAACTCAATAGTAATATTATTCAAATTAATATTTGAGTTATTAAAACAATAGCA